GGAGAAAAGGGATAGCTATGCTATTTAAAAGGCCCGCCTTTGTTCTCTGGGACTTAATCTCAGATTTTCCTTGGAGTTTAGATTCCCTAGCCCCCATCCTTTCAATAGGCCACCCATCAATTCCCCATATCAGCCCTATGCTAACACACATAAACCCAAGATTCTTTGCCCTTACACCCTTAACAGCAGCGTACCCAGTACCCACCATTAGCAGACTTCAAAGAGCCATTTTAAAATAAAATAAAACAAAGGGCTAAATATCTACTACTACCTTCAACGTATTTATAAATCACTTACATCATGAAATCTCAAGTAAAAGTTATGGCAGTCCTTCCCTGCACAATAAAATCTCACTGTCACAAAGTGCCTTTTAGCCCTGGCACATCATCAATCCCTTAAGTTTGGTTTCTGAACATTCACACACAATAAGGACTATATTGAAAATTTTTTCTGATGATAATTCCTCAACTGTACTGAGACCTAAATTAGTTCCATGCATCATTCTTTTAAGCTGGGAAAATTTCATGGTAGAAGCTCTTAAAGTCTCTCTTGAAAAACTGGTCCTGTGGTCTTTGCTCCTACTAAATCTTCTATTTCAAGTTCCAAAAATTCTTTGACCTAAAGTTCTAGAGCAGTATTCCTGAAGGAAGTACTTTTCATGTCAATATGTCAGAGATAATTGGAGAATAACAGTGTACAGAACTGTGACAAAGAGGCATCTACCTGAGAATTGATGAGTAGAGGTAAGTCATCTGCAGTAACTCAAGCATAACAAAATATGTTTAGCATAAACTCTTAAAAGTGGATATTGCATCTCTCGTTTAGAGAGTGACATGGTTAAGATTTTATTCATGGCATGTAAAAATTGAAACTGAATAAAAGTTTACAAATGAAATTCAATCTTAATGATATTGGTGACATGAGAAAATAGGAAGTGATAGTTGAGAAGAAAATTGATTTGAAAATTCAAAATCATGATGGATCTGGGCTGATTGGCAAAATACTTTCCATCTTGGAAATACAAGCAATGGAGATGAGGAAAAGAAACTTTTCATGCAAGAAGTGATAGGATCTGGAATGTAATCCCTGAGACCATGATGCAGGCATGTTCAGTTGAGGCATTCGAGAGAGATTTGGATCATTATCTGAAAACGAAGAACGTGCAGGATTTTAGCACAAGGCGAGTTGCTGTTTTAGACAGCCAGCACTGAAAAGATTGGCTGACTGTGGAATTCCGGGTGGATCTTTAATGGAACTATCTTTCTTTAGCAGGCATTTTTATTTAACAAGGACAAACTCAACTTGTTGGTTTCAAGTTCTTAAGATTTGTAGCTTGGGTTATTGTTGTGTTGTAGATTTACTCGCCGAGCTGGTGTATTTGGTTGCAGACGTTTTGTCACCCTGCTAGGTAACATCATCAGTGTGCCTCTGGTGAAGTGTTGGTGTTCTGTGCCGCTGGTTATCTATATGCCTCGGTTTGCTGGGGTGGTTGATATTACTTCTGGTTCTGTTCTTCAGTGGTTTGTATAATGGGTCCAGTTCAGTGTGTTTGTTAATGGAGTTCTAGTTGGAATGCCAGGCCTCCAGGAATTTCCTGGCATGTCTCTGTTTGGCTTGTGCTCTAATGAATGTGTTGTCCCAGTCAAATTTGTGTCTTTTTTTAGTCCATGTGTATTGAGACCAGAGAGAATTGATCGTGTCTCTTGGTGGCTAGTTGGCGTTTGTGAATCCTTATTGCCAGTTTTCTTCCAGTTTGGCCTGTATAATGTTTCTCACAGTCCTTGCATGGCATTTTGTATATTACATTAGTTTTATTGGTTGCGCGAATGGGGACCTTTATGTTAGTCAGTAGCTGTCACAGGGTGGTTGTTGGTTTGTGGGCTACCCTGATACCTAGGAGTCCGAGTAGTCTTCTTGGAACACAAGAACAATGGGGAACTCCAGACTAGCGTACGCAGAAAGGCAACACATACAGACCAGATACTTAATTACACAACGGAAACTGAAATACTTAATTGACAACACTCCCCACAAGAATTCCTCAACATCATCAAGGACACCAGAATAGAAGAGGACGAGATTATGGTATCCTTCGACGTAACAGCACTATTTACATCCATAAACATTGACCTAGTCAAAGAGACAATTGCCACTCTGCTGGACAAAATCAGGAAGGCAGACACGCCATGACACGGACAGCATCAACAAGGAGAGCACCCTGAAACTACTGGATCTGTGCCTCACAACCCACTTCACCTTCAACGGCCATATATTTAAACAAATCAACAGAACACCAATGGGATCCCCAATATGAGGACTGATTGCATTACTGCTTCTGCTAAGATTAGAATGAACAGCATTCCCCACTATCCAACCCAAACTCTGGGTCTGCTATGTAGATGATATCTTTGTGATTATCAATCGCACATGACCGGAAGAAACCGACCAACACATAAACAACATCCTCATCAGAATAAAATTCACAAAAGAAGAAGAGAACACCAACCAACTACTCTTCCTAGATGTAATGGTGGAATGTAAGAACAGCGGGGAACTCCAGACTAGCTTACATAGAAAGACAACACATACGGACCAGATACTTAATTACACCAACAACCAGCCCAACACCCAAAAACGGAGCTGCATCAGTACATTATTCAAACGAGCATGACACACTGCAGCAACCTGGAATTGCGCAAAGCAGAACAGGAGCGCTTACACAGAATTTCTAAAAGGAATGGATACCCAAAAGGCACAATCGGCTGTTACATCTGTGAAAGGCCACAAGAAGAAGACATGGCCAGAAACACTAGTCACCCTACCATACATCAGAGATGACCACAAGACTACTCAGACCCTGAGGTATCAGGGTAGCCCACAAACCAACAACCACCCTGTGACAGCTACTGACAAACATTAAGGAGCCCATACCTACAACCAACAAAACTGATGTAATATACAAAATACCATGCAAGGACTGTGAGAAACATTACATAGGCCAAAGTGGAAGAAAACTGGCAATAAAGGAAACACGAACACCAACTAGCCACCAAGAGACACGACCAATTCTCACTAGTCTCAATATACACGGACAAAGAAGGACACGAATTCGACTGGCACAACACATCCATAATAGCACAAGCCAAACAGAGACATGCCAGGGAATTCCTGGAGACCTGGCATTCCAACTGGAACTCCATTAACAAACATATTGAACTGGACCTGATATACAAACCACTGATGAACAGAACTGGAAGTAATACCAATCCCCCCAGCAAACTGAGCATGTAAATAACAAGCAGGTCGAAACACTGATGGTTCACCAGAGGTGCACTGACGTTGTTACCTAGCAGGGTGACGAAACAGCTGCAATCAGACACACAGGCTCGGTGAGCAAGTTTGCAACCTCAACTTATTGATTTTGACAATGTAGTTTGTTAATCTCAAAACGTATTTTCATTCATTTATTTGAGTTATGTTGAAACATTAATTCGTAGATATAGCAGGGTCTGGGTAACTTCTGATAAGGAATAAAATATTACTTTCATGAAACAATAAACTCAATGATACTGAATTGTCGTGAATATTTAGTTTTGTCATAATAGTTGACAGTGTCTCAGGCAAATAAGCTCTCTGCTCAGTACAACTAACCTGACGTCCTCAGCAGATAATAAATTCCACAGAATGTGGCTTTGAAGACTCAGCCAAATTAATATCATACAATTAGAAAGAGGTCCCATGCTTATCTGAAATCCATGAAGGAAGACGACAACAACAAAAGATAGGAGCTGCTTTGTGGATGTCCTCACATTATGTTGAATTTAATGGCAGGACCTGAGCCAGGTTTTTCTTTCCATTTCTTGACCTCAATCAGCAAAATTGGCCAGAGTGCAAAGAAGGAGAAAGGGATTGAAAGATTAAAAACTGTGGAGAAATGAAGCCAGGTTTGACAAAAACATTAGGGTATTTGGAATAATAGGACAGCAGCAGAGTTGTGGAGAGAGGTTGAAATGCGAAGGGCAGTGGAAATATCTGATCACAGAGGTGGGGCTGGAGCAAGCAAACTGGATCAGTGGTTACGTGGAAAGGCACCTGTAGCACCTTGACACTTCCAAGATAATTCAATATTGGCCTACTAGAATTGAAACTATGCCTGCTTCAGCAGATATCAGCCCAGTGGCCTATCAGGATTGTATATAGTAGAAATCACCAAAGAAAGCGGAGAATGCCCAAACGGACAAACCCTACCATACTGCACTTAACTCGGGAGTTGCTTTCTCCAAGTCATAGGAAACTCAGACATTGCCGTGCACCCTATTTTTGGCTTCCCTCCCTATAGGAATAGCTCCAGAATCACGTTGAGGAGCCTCCTGCAATTTGTAGAATCAAGTTCCTGTGCACAGTCTCAAAATACAGTGATACCTGCAAATGGAAAGCCAGATAGCTCATTATTAATTCAATTTTTGAAGAAGATTTCTGAAAATCACATTTTGGTAAATGGGACATGTCGCAATGCTTCCCTTTCATTTTCTTAAAAAAATGAAAGTACCCCATTAAAAAACTCTTCAATGCAAGACAGTTTCAATTTTGTAATACAATAATATTTGTCATCATACCAGTTTTGTAAAAGAACTTTATACATGGAAATTGTTTATTCACTAGCATTATTAATTTTTCCAAAGATTTACTTTGTTTCATCTTTATTGCAACACCATCAAGATTTTTATTAGAGCAATTTGTTTTGCTGAAATGCAATATTCAGAGACATGACTAATTACATGCAAATGACAGTTCTGCAGGGATTTCAAGCCACAAATTGCACACATTTCATTACAAAAGGCAACTTTGTTATTGCTTGGGCAAAGCTGGTTAATAATGCCGGTGTGTTTTTTTTAACATGGACAGGCAAAGCATGACTTCTTGTAATTCAGATCTCAAGATTCCTTTCGAGTTTATGACAGAACTCCAGCACTACAAGTACGTGCTTATTAAGCCTTTACCTCCTGACGACTTGGGACCATCTGATCCTGGAAAGTTACCCTGTGACGTAACAACCTCTCCCGGGGAGGGGGGGGGATTTCACTCCCACCTTGCTGTCATGTGGGAATTAAGAAAAGAAGAGTCATGGTGTAAGAAAGGAAATCATTGGCAATGCAGTGTGGTATTATACTATTAGCAAGCAAATAACAGGAGCTTTTCAATTCCTGTGATTCAAACTGCTGCAAAGTGACATTTTACCAATAAGCAACCTTCCATGACTGGTCGGGATGAGCGTCTGACCAAACTGAAAACCCAGAGGGGTCAGAATTTTAAGACTTGGATTTACTTACAAAGACTGGAGTTTTCCAGGTCTTGTTGATTTTAATTTTGTAGCTGTAGCTCTGATAACAGCACTCAATGTACTTTAGATGAAACATTTTTTGAAGAATTGATTCTTGGTTGAATTGTTGAGGAACAGACTATCACTCTACATTCCTTAAACATGAATCGTTAATCTTTAGTGACCTCATGAGGACTGTCCGCTTATTGATGGCCTGATGGTTTGAGCATATTAAGTGTTTTGGGTGTTTGTGAGCTGGTTACAAGCTTATGCTAAACGTACAATGATAGGAAACTATGTATTTCAATTTTCATGGAACTGTAGATAGTTTTGGAGAAGGGGAACAAAAGAAGTCAACAGGGAGATATGAAATTTTCAACATGTGACGGCCATGTATATATTTATGTTCAATATTAGTCTTCAGTGTTGCTGCGGACTAGGAATTATACTAACAAGCATAGGTTTATTCCTATGTTGTGCTTGTTGTGTGTTATGTTAACATTCCTTGCCAGTACAGTAGCAAATCTGCATTTGATAAAGTCTTAATAAGAAAATACGCTTCTGTTCCTTGATTTATCAAGGAAAGGTAGCAGAAATATTCTGGGCTGTCAGGTCTGTACTTTGCCTTGGCTTTTTTGAATAGACAAACTTTATCTTTCAAAGCCAAAATTCAAACGCTCATCCCCAGTGAATAGTGCAGGAACATTACTGCATTGATGTGGAGGTTCCCATCCAATTTCAGTATTTAATTTTAGTTTTCAGCATAAATTAAACGAGATACCACTTCCACAATAAATCCAAGTAAATACACAAATATCCTGCACTTTCACAAAATTTTGCAAGCAGCATTCATTTAAAGTATTACTTAAGTTTGCATTTCACGAATCTGTTAAGTGAATAACAGATTAAGTGAATCTGTATGAGACATATAGACAAGTCGTAGAAATAAGAAATAAAACATTAAAAAGAAAGAAATGAAGCTTTTAAAAGACATAGGCTCCTCTTAATTAAACTGATTTCTTAAAATTCCAAGAGCACATGCAGTGCAGCATATGTAAAGCCATTCTGACCCCTCCCTGAGTTTGGAGGAAGGTTAAGCTATTATTTTCAAATAATTAGCTAATATTGCAAAAACAAAATGAAACGAGAGGCACAGAATGCTGCAAAGAGAAAAATTAGGAATGAAGTTTCTGAAAGAAAAATGGAGCAATCCAGGCTAGGAGGAATTAAAGCATCATCACAAAAGGTCAGTGTTATTCACTTGCTGAAGTATTTGTCAATATTTTTGAATATTAAACCTCAAATCAATTTCATGTCACTTGTTACTATCTGAGGTAGTCTTACCCAGTATTACCAGTGACACATTTATGAGCCAAATAATAGAGATGATTGCAGGTTTGTTGCTTTAGAATTTCATAACAGCTTGACCATAATGAGATTGTTTTGAACACAGGAACAAGAATTAGTCATTTAACCCCTTCAGCCAGCGCTGCCATTCAATGAGATTATGGCTGATTTGTGGCCTAACCTCATATACCTACCTTTGGCACATATCCCTTAATAACTTTGCCTTTCCGAAATTTATCTATTACAGACTTAAGATTGAACAAATGATCTAGTGTCCTCTGCTGTTAGTGGATATTGTTCCAAATATCTACCACACTTGTTTGTAGATGTGTTTTTTAATATCTCTCCCGACTGGCATGGCCCTAATTCTCAGACTATGGCCCCTAGTTTTGGATTCCCAGACCAGTGGAAAAATTTAACTTTATCTAGTTTGTCCTTTCCTGTTAAAATCTTGAAGGCTTTGATCAGATCACCCCTTGACCCTCTAATTTCTGGAGAAAACAGGCCTGATTTGTATAATGTCTCCATGTAACTTAACACCTTAAGTCCAAGTATCATGCTTGTAAACCTACATTATATTTCCTCCAAGGCCAATATATCATTCCCAAGGTGTGGCACTGCTCACAGTACTCCAAGTGGAGTCCAAACAGGGTTTTGTGTAGCTACAGAACTTCTACATCCTTGTTCTCCTGTCCTCTACTTATAAAATCACCATTCCATCAGCTTTTTTGATTTTTTCTGCACCAGTTTGTGGCATTTTAAAGATCTATGTACATGAACCTTTAAGTGTCTTCGAGCATCTACTGTATTTAAGTTCATACCAGCTAGAAAGTACCCTGAGCTATCCTTTTTTCATCCGAAAAAGGAAACCCCACGTGCTTGAGTTGAACTCTACCTGCCACTGTTTTGCCCATTCACTTAGTCTATCATTATCCCTTCATAATTTTATGCTGTCAACGGTTGACAATGCCACCTAACTGTATCATCGGCAAATTTAGATTCATGACTTTCTATGCCATTATATCCAAGCCATTAATAAATCTTGTGGATAACTAGAGGTCCTAACACAGACCCTTGTGGGTCACTACTGGTCACATCATGCCAATTTAAGTACCTACCTATTATCCCTACTTTGTCAATTGCCACTCAACAAATTTCCCAGCTATGTCAGTAATTTGCTCACAATTCCATGAGCTTCTTCCTTAGTTAACAGTTTCTTATGTGGGACTTCATCAAATGCCTTCTGGAAGACAAATAAACAACATCCATCGACATTGCCATGTCCATTACCTTAATCTACCTCAATGAGGTTTGTCAGGCATGACCTACCCGTCATAAATCCATGCTGGCTCTCCCTGATTAGCTAGAAATTTTCCAAGGTGATCAGTTTCCCCATCCTTGATGATAGATGCCACGGATTTTCCCAACACCACTGTTAAGCTAGCTGGTCTATAAATGCTGGGTTTTTCCTCTTTCACACTTCTTAAAGAGCAGAGTGGCTTGTGCAATTTTCCAATCCAAAAGGATGACTTGGATGACTCCTGTATCTAGGGAACTCTAAAAGATTATATCTAGGGTATCTACCATGTGGTCTCCTACTTCCTTGAATGCCCCCTGATGGAAACCATCAGGTCCTGGGGATTAGTTACTCTTTAATTCCATTTATTTCCTCATTACCATGGTTTTACTTATGTTAATTTTATTCAGTCCCTATTCTTGATCCACTATTAATTTCTTCAGGACTTCCAACAAACTATCTTCTTTTACTATAGGTACTGAGGCAAAGCAATTTTCAATATGTCTGCCATTTTCCCATTTTCAGTCTTTAGTGGGCCAACATTGATTATCACCGCTTTCACTTTATGTAACTATAGAATTTCTTCTTATTGATTTTGATGCCCTCGGCAAGTCTCCTTTCATAATTCCTTTCAGTAGCTCTGATAAGCTGCTTTGTGGCTCTTTGCTAGTCTTTGTATCTTTCTCATTCAGCAGATCTGTGCTGTTTATTGCATTTTTATAAGCCTTTCTTTTTGTGTTATGCTATCCTTCATCTCTTTAATTGTCCACGGCTGGTCCCTCCTCCCGCCACTCCCCCAGTGATGTGGAGCTTTTACTTCTTAGGGGTATAAACTGGTTTTGTATTGTGTTAAATGTTTCTTTAAACATCCTCCATTGTTCTTCAATTGTTTTACCCTTTAGCAGATTTTTCCCTGTTTACTGTGGATAGTCTGTGTTATCTTATTAAAGTCGGTCTTACTAAAATCTAAAACTCTGGTAACTGATTCATGCTTTTTGTTTTCACACACTACATTGAACTCAATCATGTTACGATCACCGTTTGATAAATATTCACATACAATTAAATTCCTAATTAAACGCAGTTCATTACTAAATCCAATATTGCTGGTCTCCTTATTGCATCCAAGGCATATTGCTGTCTGTCTGAAACAATCCCAGACACACTTAAAAAATTCACTACCTTTCTGACAGGTGCTTGTCTGCCTCTGCCAATGTTAAAGTTTAAAATCTCCCATTAATACTAATCTGGCTTTGCTACACATTTATCTGATTTCTGCACTTATACAATCTAGCACTTCTGAACTGCCACCGGGGATCTATACACAACACCTATTACAGTTTTAGATCCTTTACTGTTCCTCAATTTCACCCATACAGTCTCCATTGAATGCATTCCCCTCATACTTCAATGGTGACAGAAGATTATAATTTTGTTTCTAATCAGTGAGGCTACTTCACCTCCTCTGCCACTTGCCCTGTCCATCCTGTAAACTTTATAACTTGATATATTTAGCTCCAAATCCTGATCATCCTGTAGCCACATCTCAGTAATGGCTGATATATCATAATCTCGAATCTGAAATTGAGCTTGCAGCTCATTTAATTTATTCCTTACATTCCATGAATTTGTATATTCAATTCTTATTCAGGCCATACACCACAAACTCTCTCTCAGCACTGGTACTTAATTCACCTGTTTATTATTTCTCTCCTGCAGTTTAATTAATACACTTAAAGTTTTACTGCCATACTTGAAGTAGGATTCCGGACTTTCTTTTTTTTAATTCTCTTCTCTTACTTGAAATTATATTGACTTCCCACGAGTCCTTCCCATCACTTACTAGTTAAAAAGTTCTTATGACCAGACTGTTTCACCTTTCTGTCAAGACGCTGAAGGTCCTGTTTTCTCCTCTGTCTTCTTGCCTTTATGTATCTCACCTGAACATAGCAACTCTCACACTCTTCTGGCTCTCCTGTCCTTTTCAAAGTTGGCCACATACCATATCGAGGCTCTGCATACCAGATGGTTAGTAGAGTCCAAAGACAGCAATCAATTTCAGGTTTTTGTGAACAGAACTCATGCTGAATAATCATGACTGGAGACCCAGTTTTTTATTTGAAATAAAC